AAAAAAAAAAAAAAAGAAATCAAAGATGTCTCAGCTTGCTGTGACTTAGGGAGCCCAAGGACTCTAGGATTTCTTCTTTTTCTTCCTTCTCCTCCTCCCCCCCCCTTCTTTCTTCTTCTACCTCCTCTCTTCCTCCTCTTCCTTCTTCCTCTCCTGCCCTTCCTCCTCCCGCTCCTCCTCTTCCTCCTTTACCTTTTCCACTCAAGGCTAGCACTCTACCACTTGAACCACAATTCCACTTCCGGCCTTTTTTGGTGGTTAATTAAGAGAAAAGAATCCTACAGAGAAGCCAGGCACCAGTGGCTCATGTCTGTATTCCTAACTACTCAGGAAGCTGAGATCTGAGGGTCGTGGTTCAAAGCCAGCCTGGGCAGAAAAGTCCATGAGACTCTTATCATGAAAATTCGAAGTAGTGCTGTGGCTCAAGTGGTAGAGCGCTAACCTTGAGCACAGAGAGGCTCAGGGATGGCGCCCAGGCCCTGAGATCAAGCCCCAGGACTGGCAAAATAATAATAATAATGAAGAAGAAGAAATTACATGAGTATGCCATCTTTCTGATAAAGTAAGTTCAGGAAATACTTTAGAATACATTACTTTCTCAGGTTTTCCCCTCATGTTTATGCTAACAAAATGTGTTTATTTTCTATAAAAATGAATAAAAACATTATACCATTCTATACTGCCCAGCAACTTGTCTCTTTCATTTAATAATGTACCATATGCAGCAAGCTCTGTAAGAATGAAAGAACTGGCAGGGCGCTGGTGGCTCACGCCTGTAATCCTAGCTACTCAGGAGGCTGAGATCTGAGGATCACGGTTCAAAGCCAGCCCGAGCAGCAAAGTCTGTAAGACTCTTATCTCCAATAAACCACTAGAAAACCAGAAGTGGTGCTGTGGCTCAAGTGGTAGAGTGCTCACCTTGAGCTGAAGAACTCAGGAACAGTGCCCAGAGCCAGAGTTCAAGCCCCATGACCGACCAAAAAAAAAAGAATGAAAGAACTTACTTTCTTGCCACTTTCTTCTTTGATGTAAAAATAGTAACTTTTCAGTAAAGCAAATGACAGTTCGGAAAAATTCCACTTGAAAGAATATTTTGGAAATGTCAATGTCAACTTTAATTCATATGAGGAAAATGCTGGTCGGGTACTGGTAGCTCACGCCTGTAATCCTAGCTACTCAGTAGGCTGAGATCTGAGGATTGAGGTTCACAGCCAGCCCCAGCAGGAAAGTCAGTGAGACTCCATGAGACTCTTATCTCCAATAAACCACTCAGAAAACTGGAAGTGGCACTATGGCTCAAGTAGTAGAGCACTTGCCTTGAGCTGAAGAGCTGAGGGACAGCGCCCAGCCCAGAGTTCAAGGCCCACAACTGACAAAAAAAAAAAAAAGAGGAAAATGCTTTGACCTGAAATAAACGTAGAGATGCAGTAGAGAAAAGGGTGTTCAAATTATGTACACATAATTGGTTAACACAGCAATATTTCCAGTATTACTACTAGGACTTTTTACCTCCTAATTTGACTTTTCTATCTTCCCAGAGTTATGGAACCTATAGCAATCTGAACCCAAGTGTAGTGAAAAAAACTTTTATTCTTAGCCAAGAATAGGAGAAATGGATGACAAACTCACAAATCAACCTCACTGTGTGTGTATGTGTATGTGTGTGTGTGTGTATGTGTGTGCATGTACACATGTGCACCAATACTGGGGCTTTAATTCAGGGCCTGGGTGTTTTCCCTTAGCTTTTCCACTCCAGGCTGGCTCTCTACCACTTTAGATAGAACTTCATTTCTGGCTCTTTGGTGGTTTGTTGGAGATAAAGAGTTCTATGGACATTCCTTCCCTCAGCTGTCTTTGAACCCATATCTGAGCCTCTTGAGTAGTTAGTTTTACAGATGTGGGCTGTCTCTGGGATTACAGATGTGAGCACCCCCTGGCTAACTTCTCAATTCTAAGGGGCTAGCAGATTATACTAGCAGCATAGAAGAAATGAAGGGGAGGGATGAGCTAATAAAGTGGAGGAAGGAGATTATCATGAAGTTATAAGTTGTCTGGCCATTGTTAAGACAGCCATCTTAGACCCAGCCAGTTTGGCCCAGCCTATTCTTTGAAGAGAAACTTCTGGCTTATAAGTATCCTGATAAACAAGATGAGCTGGGGCTCCCATAATCCAGATACTCAAGAGGCTGAGATCTGGGGATCATGGTTCAAAGCCAACCAGGGGGGGCAGAAAAGTCTGTGAGATTCTCATCTCCAATTAATTATCAGAAAAACTGGAAGTGGGCTGTGGTTCACGTGGTAGAGTGCTAGTCTTTTTTTTTTTTTTTGTCAGTTGTGGGGCTTGCACTCTGGGCCTGGGTGCTGTCCCAGAGGAAAAAGCTCAGGGACAACACCCAGGCTCTGAGTTCAAGACCCAGGACAGACAGACAGACAGACAGACACACAAATACTGCCCCCCTCCCCCGCAACACACACACACACTTCCCCCTGACACACAAATAAATAAGAAGAAAGAAGAGTAGAAAGTCAGCTAGGTCACCTGGTTAGTGACTGTCCATCAGCCGGCTTTCCCAAAACCTAGGCATTGGGATTTGAACCCCGGTCTCCACCTACCCCCCACCACCCCCACACTAGCTCACTGTCTAGTTTAACCTAGTGCCATTAAACTTAACAGCCCTCCTGCATTAGCTACAATTGCAATTGTAATCATTTAACCTCTTAGACAAAGTTTACTTCTGCAAGAAAAGTCCTGGAGAGAGGATGAGAATCTTGGGCTGGAGACCAAGTTCAGGGCCGCAGAGCAGATGGGGAGGGCGGGGCAGGGAATGAAGTTTCTGACAGGTGTGTGGTCCAGGGGATTGGCCTGTAGCTCCACCCTAGGCTCCACCCTCGGCCACACCCCCACGGGCTGGGAGGAAACCAGGATTGGCTTCTGAACCCCAAGGCCCCGCCTTCGACCCCCTCATCCCGCCTCCCGAAATCCAGGATAGGCCTAGTGTCGCTCACACCCGCCTCTTGCCCCGCCTCGTAAGCTGAGAGGAAATCAGAATTGGCCCCTCCCTTCCTCCCGCCCCGCTAGTCTCACGGGCTCCGGGGATTCCAGGACTGGCCTGTCGCTCAACTCCAGGCCCCGCCCCGTCGCCTGTGACTGCCGCCGCCGCCGCTGTCAATAAAGTTGTTGTTCTGCCAACATGGCGGCGCCCAGGCTGACTTGACCGGTCCGTGGACGCCTTAGAAGGTTCGGGGGAGTTCGAGCCTTTGTGGAGCCTCAGGCCGAGGGCCTGTGAGCAGGTAAAACCCTGTCAGACTCGGCGGGACGTGAAACGAGGCTGGCTTGGTTTCCTGCAGCCCCTCAAACCGGAAGGTGTGGGCCACCCACCCCTTTGCCCCTCAGCCCCTGGGCCCCTGGGCCCCTGGACCCCTGGGGCCCTGGACGGACACCCCGTGGGCTCCTGGATACCCCCTGGGCTCCTGGATACCCCCTGGACCCCTGGACCCCCCCTGGGCCCCTGGACCCCCCCACCCAGGCCCCTGGACCCCCCCACCCAGGCCCCTGGACCCCTGGGTCCCTGGATTCCTGGGCCCCTGGATTCCTGGGCCCCTGGACCCCTGGGCTCCTGGATTCCTGGATCCCTGGGCCCCTGGATTCCTGGGCCCTTGGATCCCCTCTGGGCCCCTGGATCCCCCCTGGGCCCCTGGATTCCTGGGCCCCTGGACCCCTGGGCCCCTGGTCCACTGGGCCCCTGGACCCCTGAGCCCCTGAACCCCTGGGCCCCTGGACCCCCCCTGGGCCCCTGGACCCCTGAACCTCTGGGCCCCTGGGCCCCCGGATCCCCCCTGGGTCCCTGGATTCCTGGTCCCCTGGGCCCCTGGATTCCTGGGCCTCTGGATTCCTGGACCCCTGGGCCCCTGGATTCCTGGGCCTCTGGATTCCTGGATCCCTGGATCCTTGGACTCTTGGATATGGGTGGGACCGAATTCAACCATGAGCATCCTTGTAATCTTGGGGTTCACAGCAAGTTCTGGACTTCAGGTTCTCAGAAGTCACCCAGCTCTAGTCTTCTATCTCACGGAGAGGCACAGGATGGAGTTTCAGACCGGGAAGTTAGTTGCTTGGGATCACACAGGGCATTAGCACGTGTGTGTGTGTGTGTGTGCGCGCGCGCGTGCATGTGCGCGCACCAGTACCAGGGCATGAACTCAGGGCCCCACCTTCTCCTTTGACTTTTTTCTTCAATCCAGGCTATGCCCTACCACATGAGCCACACCTCCACTTCTGACTTTTTTGCTGGTTAACTGGAGATGAGTGTCTGGGATTTGTTTGCCCTGACTAGCTTCAAGTCACCTTTGAACCAACTTTGAAGTGTGATCTTCAGATTTCAGCCTTCTGAGAGGCGAGGACAGGCCTGGGCCCCACTGATGTCCAGCTTATTTTCTATTATTTCTATTCAAGAGGTTAGAGCACTTTTACATTTGTAGGGAGGGCTATCTAGGAGAAAAATGTCAGGCATCTATATAGGTATCTTTTATTATTATTATTATTATTTTTTTGGCCAGTCGTGGGGCCTGAACTCTGGGCCTGGGCGCTGTCCCTCAGCTCTCCAGCTCAAGGCTAGCACTCTACCACTTGAGCCACAGCGCCACTTCTAGCTTTTTCTGCTTATGTGGTGCTGAGGAATGGAACCCATGGTCTCATGCATTGCAAGGCAAGCGCTCTACCACTGAGCCACCTTCCCAGCCCCTATATAGGTATCTTTTGAAGGGCTTCCCTTTCCCCTCTTGGCCCATTCTATTTATGTATCATCCAAAGAATAAGAAGGATTAACCCCACCCCCACCCCTATTTTTCCAGGTGCTTACAGACATCAGGCAAAACCCCAGTTAATGCACAGATATGCTTGACACAGGCAGGACAATCCAACCTAAGCCTGGCTGTAAAAAATCAACAGTGGACCTAACCTGTAGGGAACTCCAAGGCCGAGCTGTGAGACCAGGAAAAGGTTAAGAGACTGGACAGAGGATTGAGAACTGGACCCTGAGAAGGTCAAGCAATCAAGGCAAGACAGATGTAGAATTGTTTAAACATTAAAAAGCTTGAGACCTTGGAAGTAAGATTGCTCCCCTCTGCTCCCGAATCATGAGAGTCAATTATCACTATACTTATCACTATACTTACCTTATTGTCATCCCACACTTGCTTCACCTCCCCTGTACTGAACTCAAGTAACCTCTGTCTCTTTGCTCAGACCTCACAAAAGACTAACTCCAATCAGAAACACTATAACTCCTTTAGTTAATTCTTTTTTTTTTTTTTTGGTCGGTCGTGGGGCTTGAACTCTGGGCCTGGATGCTATCCCTCAGCTCTTCAGCTCAAGTGAATACTCTACCATTTGAGCCACAGCGCCACTTCCGGTTTTCTGGTGGTTAATTGGGGATAAGAGTCTCACTGACTTTTCTGCCAACGCTGGCTTTGAACCGTGATCCTCAGATCTCAGCCTCCTGAGTAGCTAGGATGACAGGCGTGAGCTACCGCTGCCCAGCATTGATAATTCTAATTATATAGAAACCCACCTAAAAAGAAAAGATATGGCCTTCCTTATACAAAACATCTTACATTTAGGCTGGTCATAAAGAATTGTTGATATTAAACCAGCCTCATTTAGCTAATGTCTTTTTGTGTGTGTGTGTGTGTGTCAGTCCTGGGGCTTGAACTCAGGGCCTGAGTGTGTCCCTGAGCTTTTTTTACCCCAAGCTAGTGCTCTACCACTCGAACCACAGCTTACTTCCAGCAGTTTTGGTGGTTCATTGTTGGTAAGAATCTCATAGACTTTCTTGCTCAGGCTGGCTTTCAACTTCAATCCTCAGATCTCAACCTCCTGAGTGGCTAGGGTTACAATCATGAGCCACTGGTGCCCGGCTCACTCACCTAACTCTAATATATATAGTCCCATCTGCCTATTTTTAAAAAGCTAAGTGCAGTAAGTAGGAACCCCCCGCCCCCCCAGTCTATATATCTACCCTTATTAAGCAAGTGGTATTAATTGAGGTACGAATTGCCAGGCTGAAAACAATTCCCTCTGTACATCTACTTACAAAATGCCAACACTGAAAAGGCTTTTTTTTTTTTTTTTAGGGGGGGTGCCAGTCCTGGGACCTGGGCACTGTCCCTGAGTTTTTGTGCTCAAGGCTAACTACTACTTGCCACAGCTCCCCTTCTAGCTTTTGTGGTGGCTAATTGGAGATAAGAGTCTCACAGACTTTCCTGCCTAGGCTGGCTTGGTACCACGGTCTCAGCATCCAGTGGAGCTAAATGTACAGATGTGAGCCACTACTGCCCAGCCATGAAACTTCTTAAGTGGCTTCGGTTCCTAAATTCACGGGTGGAGGAAACTACTGAAGAAAAAAATCACAGTTTGGACTTTGAATTGCAACTGGATGTCCTGAAGGGCCACAACTTATGGGTTGTTATCTAGATGGTCAGTAGTGCCTCATGCCAGTAATCCTAGCCACAGAGAAGGCTGAGATCTGAGGATCAAAGATTGAAGCGAAAGTCCATGAGATTCTTGCTTCTAATGAGCAAGAAGCTGGAAGAAAAGGTGGGAACACCAGCCTGAAGTAAAAAAGCCAAGTGAGAGTGTCTTTGAGTTCAAGCCTCAGTACTGACACACAAGGGTGCATTCACACACACACACAGTTTATGTTTTAGCACAATTGAAATTTTAAACTATTCTTTCCAGGTCAAAAATAATCAAAAGAAGAAGAGAAAGGATGTGAAGTTAGAGCAGGAAACACTGATTTGTGTTGGCCAAGTAGAGGAGTTCCTGAGCTGATTCCCTGCTATTCTAGGTCCTAGTGAACCCAGGACTCTCTTACCTGCTGAAGAATGGCTACTGGCTGGCAGAAGCTGGGCTCTTCTGCCTGGCTCTTGAGAAGACAATTGCATGCTCTGACAGCCATCAGCAAACGGGGAAGGAGGGTAACACCAGTCTGTGTCCGAAGCATTTATAGTGCCACGGGGAAGTGGCCGAAAGACTACACACTCCAGACAAGAAAGGATGTTGAGAAATGGTGGTATCCTCGGATAAAAGATCAGGCCTCGAAAACTTCTGAAATGGATGTGAGTACTCAGAAATGGAAGAGAGAAGGCAAAGGGCTTGGGTGCTGGGTTTGCCCTGTTCAAATAAGTATGTGGTCTTCAACCAAATGGTGATGATTAGTAATGAGTTTGTTTTTGACCAAGCAAGCTACTGACTATTAACCTTCTCTCTCCCCAGTAGCTGGGATTGTAGGCATGCCCCACCATGCCTGGCCACACTCAATAATTTCTAAGATTAATTCCTAAGAAGAGTGGATAAGGGGAAGGGAGTTAATTGTGTTCCACTGAAAGATGGCGTTGGAGACTCAGGACACTGAGATCTGAGGATTGCAGTTGGAAGCTAGTGTGGACAGGAAAGTCTCCAATTATCTACCAACTAACCACCAAAAAGGCCAGAGGTGGAGATAGAGCATCAGCCTTGAGCAAAAAAAAAAAAATCTTAGGGACAGTGCTGAGTCCATAAGTTCCAGTTCTGGTACTGGCCAAACAATACAAAAATAACCATTCTTATTGAGTGAGTATTTCACCCTCTGCCATTTTGCCATTGACTGTCTCCCTGGCTCCCAAAATAACCCTGAACTGAGATTCCAGCCGCTGTCTCCGAGTTTCTTTTGCTCAAGGCTAGCACTCTACCACTTGGGCCACAGCGCCACATCTGGCTTTTTCTGCATATGTGGTTACTGAGGAATTGAACCCAGGGCTTCATGCGTGCTAAGCAAGCACTCTACCAGTAAGCCACATTCCCAGGCCCTCACCTGAAGCTTTTATTGATTATGTATTTATTTTTGTGATTCATAGACAACACACAGGCCAGAAAACAGAAGAACCTGTCTAAGGCCCTCTGGCTAATAGGAAAGCAAGGGTCATCCCTGTGTGTAGTGGTGGGGGGGTGGGTATCTTTGAGTCTGCTACCCTCTGGGGGCTCAGTGGCAACTTCAGAGTGCCATCCACAGAGAAGTCAATGTTGGTCTTCCTTCTGAAGTGACAGGCTAAGAAGAACAATAGAACCCAGTTAGCAAAGCTAATCTCCCCCCCCCTCCATCCCTCGCAATCCTAATTTTCTCTCGAAGACCTCCATTCTCTTGCTTTGATGCAATTATGAAAATTTCCCTTTCAATCAGATTCCTGCTCAATTAGAACATAAACTCCTTGCATGTTCTGCTCTCTTTTTTTTTTTCCACCCCCAGCTGACAGAACTCATTTCTTTGTCACCGAGGAGGGTGGGGGGGGCGGAAATAAATCACACAGACAAGCAGAAAACAGGGACAGGCAGTAGGCTGGGTTCTTTTCTGCAATAAATAAGACTATGCATCTGAAAAGGGTTTTTGCTTCTGCTTTCAGCAATGTTTTTTTTTTTCCCCCCTGCCTATCGTTTACTAATTTAGCTTTGGAGTTGGGCTAATTAGCAAGGCAATGAAGAATGATGGGATTTTGCCCTTCCTTTAATCTTCATGGAATAAACGTTTAAATAGATATTAATGGGGAAAATAGATACTAATGAAGGAAAGTGCTTGGGGGTCACTTTCTACCCTAATATAGCACAATGAGTGTTCATGCGGTGAAATGAGGTAATTCTAAGAAGAGAAAGCAATGTCTTGAAAACTAGAGGGCTGGAGTGGTCGAACAGGAAGTTTGGCAAACACACCCAGCAAGTTCAAGGTCCCTATTCAAACCCTGGTCCCAACAAAAAAAGAAAGAAAGAAAGAAAGAGAGAAAGACAGAGAAAGAGAGAAAGACAGAGAAAGAGAGAGAGAGAGAAAGGAAGGAAAAAAGGAAGGAAGGAAGGATGGAAGGAAGGAAGGATGGAAGGAAGGAAGGGGAAAAACAAACCAGAAATGTCACGTCAAGAATTTTGTTTATTTTTCTGCTTCCCAAAGAATTCCCTTCCTCTCTCCTTCCCTTTCTCCCTTCTTTCCCTTCCTTCTGTCCTCCCTCCCTCCCTCCTTCCCACCCCCTCCTCTCCCTCTTGCTCTCCCCTCCCTCCTCTCCTCCCTCTCCCTTCCCCACCCCTTTTCCATTCTTCTTTGCTTTCTTTCTTTCTTTAATTGTTGGAGATAGGAGATTGCTGTATAACTCAGGCTACCCCTCAAACTCCCCATCCTCTGGTCTCAGCCTTCCTAGTGCCGGAATTTCAGGTCCAGCGCTCCCGACGAATTCTCCCAAGGCATTTTCCCACTCCTCCAAAACATCCCTAGAGAAAAAGCAGCAGGATCACCGAGCCGCAGCACCAGGGTGGTTTTCCTCCTGTGTTTCTCCCACTGCTGCTTGGGAAACTGGAGGTTACAGATCCCTGACCTTGTACTGTCAGCCCTGGGACACAATAATCTGTTCTCTCTACTGGTTGGGACTTTCTCACAATGCAGTAGGGAAACTGAGGCCCCAACACAGTGCCCAGGGACCCTGTTGCCAGTAGGTCTCAGTATAGACCACAGGGAGTCTGGCGGGGCGGGGGGGGGGGGGGGGGGGGGGGGGGGAAGAGGGGGAGGGGGGGGGGGGGGGAGGATTCATCTTCAGAGATCTCTTATATACAAAACCCAACTCCCATCCGCTTCTAGGAAAGTGGAGGGCTCACCTATCTTGCTCAATTGCCAAGACAATGCTCTTCTACTGAACTAAATCCCCAACCCCTAAGGCTGGCTCTTTACCACTTGAGCCACAGCTCCACTTCTGGCTTTTTTTTTTTTTTTTTGCTGATTTCTTGGTGATAAGAGTCTCACGGATTTCCCTGTTCTGCTGGCTTCGAACTGTGATCCTCCTAAGTAGCTAGGATGACAGGCGTGAGCCATGAGTTTCTGGCTAAAAGAGGAGCTTTACAAACAGGAAAACAATAATAAAAAAAAAAGGACAATTACTACTTAGAGGGTTAATCTGTATTATCTTGGACATCTTTTAGCTTTACCCTGGGCTTTCAATCTTGGTTTTGAACCTTTTCATCCATTTACATCATGAGAACAGTTGTTTCTTGTTTTTGTTTTCTTCTTTCAAAAGGAAAAACTTTCAATGAAGAAACGCGCAGAGTTGCCAAAAGATTCATTCCTGCAGATAGAGTTCCCAGAAAGTACTTACCTAAGTATGCTTTGTTGTTCTTTTTGTAGAAGTCAAAGCCCAAGTTCTACGTGCTGTCCATGTTCCCTTATCCTTCTGGCAAGCTGCACATGGGCCACGTCCGTGTCTACACCATCAGCGACACCATTGCACGCTTCCAGAGAATGAGAGGCAGGCAGGTAAGGGCACACAGCTGCTGAAGCCGCTCCTGTCTGCTCTACTTGGGATAGTGGGCTAATGTGTGCTCAGAACAAATGAAGATCAGGGCTGGGAAGGTGGCTCAGTGGTAGAGCGCTTGCCTTGCATGCCTGAGGCCTTGGGTTCGATTCCTCAGCACCACATAAGCAAAAAGAAAAAAGCTGGAAGTGGCGCTGTGGCTCAAGTGGTAGAGTGCTCGCCTTGAGCTGAAGAGCTGAGGGACAGTGCCCAGGCCCAAAGTTCAGGCCCCACAAACAGACCCCCCCCCAAAAAAAAAGAACAAATGAAGATCAAACTTTCGTCATCCATCCCTTTATCTATCTACCATCTATCTCCATCCTTCCTTCCATCCCTCCATCCACCTACCATCTGTCCATCCATCCGTCTATCATCTGTCTGTCTATTTCATGCCAGTATTGTGCTTGACCTCTGGGTGTTATCTGTTAGGCTTTTTTTTTTTTTCTTAAAGCTGGTGCTCTACCACTTGAGCCACAGCTCCACTTCTGTCTTTTTGGTGGTTCATTGGAGATCAGAGTCTCATGGATTTTCCTGCCTAGTCTGGCTTCAGACCTCAGATCTCAGTCTCCTGAGTAGTTAGGATTATAGGTATGAACCACCTACCAAAGAAGGAACAAATGTAATCAAGATTGAAGGACATTGAGGAGGAGCATGAAGAGCTTGGCTTATTCTTTTTGCATCTAGAAGACACATCTAGATGAATGGGAAGCAGCCATGTGTTGGGTGTTATGCTAGGGATGGAGATGAGGTAGGGATTGGGAGTAGGCAGATACAAATGTAGGTGCCATTGCTCTCTTCCCAGGAGGAGCCCACCCATCAACGGTCATTGTATAGGGGAATGAAGTCAACAGACAAAGATGAACAAAGATGCTGTGTGTTAGGTTCAGGCAACTTTCTAGTACTGTAACAAATATCTGAAGCAGGGGCTGGGAAGGTGGCTCAGTGGTAGAGCGCTTGCCTTGCATGCCTAAGGCCCTGGGTTCGATTCCTCAGCACCACATAAGCAAAAAGGAAAAAAAAAGCCGGAGGTGGCGCTGTGGCTCAAGGAGTAGAGCGCTAGCCTTGAGCTGAAGAGCTGAGGGACAGCGCCCAGGCCCAGAGTTCAGGCCCCACGACCAGACCCAAAACAAATATCTGATGAAGCAGTCAACTTATAAGGAGAAAAGGTTTATTTTGGCTTATGATTTTGGAGGTTTTAATTCAGGTTAGAGAATCCTGATAGTGGCGGTGGAGAGTACATGACAGAGCAGAACTTAACTTCCTGGCCAGGATGTTAAGGAATAGAGGGCCAAGCATTGTGGTGTATTCCTTCAATCCCAGTTACTCAGGAGATGGAGGTAGGAAGATTGAGGTGGTCTAGCCTGGACAAAAGCATGATACTTGCCTGGCACTGGTGACTCAAGCCTGTAATCCTAGCTGCTCAGGAGGCTGAGATCTGAGGATCACAGTTCAAAACCAGGCTGGGCAGGAAAGTCCATGAGACTCTTGTCTACAGTAAACCACTAGAGAAGTGGAGCTATGGCTCAACGTGATAAAGCACTAGCCTTGAGCAAAAGAGCTCAGGATAGTGCCCAGGCCCTGAATTCAAGCCCCATGACTAACATAAATTAAAAAAGAAAGAGGGAGGAAAGAAATTTAAAAGTTAAAAAAATAAAAAGAGCATAAGTCCTGATCTGAAAAACAAACTAAAAGCAAGGAGGACTTGGAAGTGTGGCTCAAGTGGTAGAACATCTACCAAGCTGGAGTCCTAAGTTCATTCCCTAGTAACCACTTAAAAAAAAAGAAAAAAAGAAATGGGCTGGGAAGGTGGCTCAGTGGTAGAGTACTTGCCTTGCATGCCTGAGGCCCTGGGTTCAAGCTATAGAAAGCCTTTCCCACAGACTGTTGGGGGGGGGGAGAGAGAGAGAGAGAGAGTATGTGTGTGTGTGTCTGTCTGTCTGTCGGTCTGTCGTTGGACTTGAACTCTGTGCTTGGGCGCTGTTCCTGAGCTCTTCAGCTCAAGGCGAGCTCTCTACCACTTGAGCCACAGCACCACTTCCGGTTTTCTGAGTGGTTCATTGGAGATAAGAGTCTCATGGACTTTCCTGCCTAGGCTGGCTTTGAACCATGATCCTTAGATCTCAGCCTCTTGAATAACTAGGATTACAGGTGTAAGGCACCGGTGCCTGGCTTATCTTTTTTTTTCTTTTTAAAGGGGAGGGGCTGGATGTGGGGGGAGGATCCGAAACTGGGAATCACTGTACTCATTGGCTAGCACTCTGCCAACTGAACCACCCCTCCAGCCCCCCCCTCCCCCAGTCCTTTCTATTTTCTCTTTAAGGGCAACTTTTCTTTTTTGTTATTTTTGGTAAGAATCTGAAATATTAAAAAACTTTTTAGAGATGTTTTTCTAACTTTATGTGTATAGATAGACATCTTGGATGACACGGAAACTAAGAATATCTTTTCATGTTGATTTCATCTGGAAACAAAAAATAAAAATGAACAAGTAGGTTATATAACTCCAGACTGTCTTTTTTTTTTTTTTTTTACCGCCACATAGTCTCTCTGGATTGACTTTATTTAAAAATTGTGAGCAGACCCTATAACATGATGTTAATAGGGTGAAACATTGACTTGGTACCATTTTGACAGCTCTGACAAAGACACTGATTAGTAATTAAGTTTTCCCCTTTCTACAGAGCAGTTATACAACAGGTACATTATTCCGCCAAAGCAGCAGCCAGCAGAAAGCTGAGCTCAGGGGTGGTCCAGGCAAGTATGGAAGAAGGCCAGGTGTCAGTTGGCTCACGCCTGTAATCCTACCCAGGAGGCTGAGATCTGAGGATCACAGTTCAAAGCCAGCCCAGGCAGAAAAGTCCCCAAGAGACCCTTATCTCCAATTAACCACTCAAAAACTGGAAGTGGTGCTATCGCTCAAGTGGTGGAGCGTTAGCCTTGAGGACAAAGAGGTTCAGGGACAGTGCCCAGGTCCTGATCCTGGGGCTTGAACTCAGGGCCTGGGCACTGTCCCTAAGTTTTTGTGCTCCAGGTAAATGGTCTACCACTTTAAGGCACAGCCCTGTTTCTGTCTTTTTAGTAGTTAATTGGAGCTAAAAGAGTCTCATAGACTTCCCTGCCCTGGCTGGCTTCAAACCAAGATCCTCAGATCTCAACCTTTTAAGTAGCTAAGATGACAGGCGTGAGCCACTAATGCTCAGCTTCGGATTTTTTTTTTTTTTTTGGTCAGTCATGGGGCTTGAATTCTGGGCCTGGGCACTATCCCTTAGCTTTTCAGCTCAAGGCTAGCACTCTACCACTTGAGCCACAGAACCACTTCCGGTTTTCTAGTGGTTTATTGGAGATAAGAGTCTCACGACTTTCCTGCCTGGGCTGGCTTTGAACCGAGATCCTCCTAAGTAGCTAGGATTACAGGCTTGAGCCACCAGCGCCGGGCTTGGATGTTTGTTTTAATCAGACTTCTTGGCTGTCAAGGACTAATACCCAGCCTAGATCAGCTTCAGCAAAAAAAGGGAGGTTATTGTGTGTGTGTGTGTGTGTGTGTGTGTGTGTGTATTATTTTTGTATGTGTGTTGTGTGTGTATAGATCCTGGCATAAAGGGTCTGAGAAAAATGTCATAGGCCCTCTGAAGGCTGGGACCTGGTCTTGAAGCTTTGTTAGTGTCCTCTCTCCATCTCTCATTCTGCCTTTCCAGCATCACAAGATAGGGGCGGAGTCATCTGGAGGCCCAGAGCTCCCTATTGAGAGAGAGAGAAAGAGAAAGTGTTTCTTCCTGTTCAGCACCCTGTCTAGCTCCAGATAAAGCATGGAGAAGGATCCAGGCCTATGGAGAGGGGAGTTAGGATTGGCAGTCCATGCTTTGAAGTTGTGGAGTAGGGGGTAGGGTAGGGGATGAATGAGATACTTTGAGTCTCATTCATTTGGGCTCTGCTGCATTTCAGGTCTCAGCTAGACTGGTATATATCTGCTCAGGTTCCTAAAATTGCATAAATCTGATCTTTTCAGGGAATATTAGGCGTTTTCCTTCTTTTGCTTTTTTTTTTTCCTTCTGTCTGTCATGGAGATTGAAATCAGGGTCTGAAAGCTGTCCCTGAGCTTTGTTACTGAAGGGTAGTCCTCTACCACTTTGAGCCACAGCTCCACTTTGGGTGTTCTGGTTTTTCAGGTTTTCTTTGGAGATAAAGAAGCTCATAGCTTTTCCATGCCCTGGCTGACTTTGAACCACAATCCTCAGATCTCAGCCTCCTGAGTAGCTAGGATTCCTGATGTGAGCCACCAGCACCCAGCTAGACTGTTTCTTTGAAAGGCATACATAAATTCAAATTTTATTATTATTTTTAATTTTTTGTGTGTCTATCCTGGAACTTGAATTCAAGGCCTGGGACTGTCCTTGAACTTTTGTGCTCAAGGCTAGTGCTCTATCACCTGAGCCACAGCTCCACTTCTGGCTTTTTTATTAGTTAATTGGAGATAAGAGTCTCACCAGCTTTCCTGTCTGAGCTGGCTTCTGACTGTGACCCTTAGATCTCAGCTTCCTGAGTAGTTAGGATTACTGGGGTGAACCACAAGCACCCAGCTTCAAATCTGAATATTTTACATTGATGTCTATGGTAGAACGTTCAGTGGAAAAAGCAGGCCATAAAATAGTATGTGTAATATAGAACATGGTTCTATTTCCTGGGAGTCTAGGAAAGTTTTAGCTTTAGCAGTCATCATGGGAAATCCTGGGCTTCTCAGACTCCCCAGTCTGGGAAACCATACTTTACTGGAGCTGCAGTTAACTTGAGAGAGCCACAGTCCTGTTGGTTGACTGAGCCTCTATCAGATCACTACTGTTGGTGCTTTACTTGTACATGTTCCTACCATCGGCAGCCAGCTGGCTGGCCAAAAGGCATGGTTCAAAATCACCCAGGAGAGAAAGCGGATTCGCAAAGAAGTATGCTAAGGAAGCTGTTGACTGCCCAGAAGACACACCTGCCGGGTTTGAATGATTCACCATGGCTGACTTGTGTCCTCTCCACACCAGGTCATCAATCCCATGGGATGGGATGCGTTCGGACTGCCTGCCGAGAATGCCGCTGTAGAGAGGAATTTACATCCAGAAAGCTGGACCCGAAGGTATGTGTTGCTATGCATTTCCTCCTCTCCCTCCTCCCCCTCCTCCTCCTCTTCCTCCCCATCCTCCTCCTCTTCCTCCTCTTCCTTCTCCTCCTCCTCCTCCATCATGAGGCTTGAATTCAGGGCCTGAGCCCAGACCCTAAGCTTTTTTGCTCAAGGTTTAGTGCTCTACTACTTTGAGCCTCAGCTCCACTTCGGGTTTTCTGGCTAATGATTCATTGGAGATGAGTGTCATTGTCTTTTTCCCTGCCTGGGCTGGCTTCGAACCTCCTTCCTCAGATCTTATTCCTGAGTAGCTAGGATTACAACCGTGAGCCACCGGCACCCAGCTAGCTCCCAGTTTGTTATTAAGTTTTTTGAGACAGGAGCTTTCTGTAGAGCTCAGGGTGACCCCCAAACTCAGAGTGCTCCTACCTCAGGAGTGCTGTGATTATAGCCATGAACTCCTGCACTTGGCTTTTCACCACTTTTACATTCGTATTTGCTTGGTTGAAATCTGTGTAGAGCACAGATTTCTGGAGGGGCCAGAAGTCTGTATTCAAAGACATTATCCTTCTGAATGGCCAGGTAGTAGACTGACAGTCCCTGGAACTAAAACTATTGTGATTTCTGTCGGATTATAATCTGTCCAAATACTACCTTCTAATGGATTGGTATTTTTACTCATTCTTTCTTTTTTTTTTTCCATTTCCTGAAATTCACTTTGATGAATATTATTTTATATGATCAGAAGCACAGAGGTATTACACCTTTGTGTTCTTTTTTTAATATTGTTTTATTGTTATTATTAAGGTGTTATACAGAGAAGTGAACATTTCATAAGTCAGGTAGTAAGTACATTTCTTTTTGGACCATGTCACTCCTTCCTTTGCTGACCCCCATTTTCTGCCTCGCATCCCTGCCCACAAATCACATAGTTGATTTCCACCTAGTATCTCTTGAGTAACAGGCCTGCATTTGTTCACCCTCCCTCCATTCATGTGCCCCTTTGCCCCCTAAAACGACAAAACAAGCCAAATCAAACACCATCATCATCATCATCATCAACAACAACAACAACAAATAATTATGTTTCCATTTCCTAGAATTCGTTTCGATAAATAGTATTTGGACTCATCCTTTAAGAGCATCTTCCTTTAGTCTGATTGTGTATGAAATGCTAAGAGTTCCCTATAAGTCATCATAGCCAGCTGTGTTTTCGATCTAGTTTCACTTGTGAGAGAAAGAAACCATGCGCCATTTGTCTCTCTGAGTCTGGCTTACCTTACTTAACATGATTTGTTCAGGGCAAAACAAACAGCACTCCGAAGTCCTTTTCTATAATCTACACTTGCTGAGTTTTCTTCCACCTTTCTCAAAGTGTGATTGGTCGAGTCATGTGTTTAACCCACCTCTAGAGCTCTAAAGATGTACTTGGCTCTGTCTCACAGGAACATCGAACACATGAGGGGTCAGCTGGACCACCTGGGCCTGTGCTTCAGCTGGGATCGAGTAAGTCGGCCCTCCCTTTTGGAGAGGCTTGTGTGGCTGTTGGGTTGGGCATTGAACTCAGGGACTCAGACTTGCTGGAAGGGCAATCTGCCACTTGAAGCACATCCCTAACCCTATAGAAGCTAGGCGTGAGCCACTGGGATGTGTGTGTGTGTGTGTGTGTGTGTGTGTGCATGCATGTGTGTGCCAGTACTGGGACTTGAACTCAGGTACTTACACTCTTGCTTGGCTTTTTCCACTGACAACCAGCACTCTTACCACTTGAGCTACCCCTTCATTTCTCCCAGCGTTGTGTTCTCAGCCCTTTTCTACCCCCCTCCTCTCCTCCCACCTCCAAACCTCACAAGCCTTTTTAATTAAACCTTTGCAGTCTGCTTGATGTGTGCAAAACAGCAACGTGAGGAGGTGGAGGAATGGTTTCATTGAAAGGTGAATCTGTGCCCTTTGCCAACAGCAATCTTAAAGTCTCATACAAACCAGACAATCCAGCAGATGGCCAGCCGACAATTACCCAAACAGTTTGAACAATGAGATGGCTTGGGAATGTTATCTTCCTCTTTCAGACTGCAAAACCACGCTTTAAAACCCAGGTCATAGCATTTTCTTTTCTTCCTTCCTCTCCTGGGAGCGAGAAACCCCATAGCAACCAACGCTCCCAGCTCCTGAGCAGTATATTCTTTAATCTTCCTTCCATGAAGAGCATGGATTGGAAAGCAAGTACACCTATTCCAGGAATGAGTGCATTTGCCAGAATGATCATCAAATGTTGTCTCCTAGCACAACACCGTGTTTCGCTCGCTTTTTAGATGTTCGTCTCCAGCCAGTGTGGATCATACTTTGCAGAGGGAAAGTAAGAAAATAAGAAAGCTGGATGCGATTAGCTGAACTTGCGCTCAGAGGGAAGGAGGGAATGCGACTTCAAATTGTGGAGTGAGGGGAGAGGGAAGAGAGCGGTTGCTTCTCAGTGGGGCACATGCTTTCTGGAATAATTGGCACCTTTCTGAGAAGAAGGTATGGACTTGCTAGCCCAGTGGGGCATGCCTGTAATCTCAGCCACTCTGCAAGCAGGGTTTGGGAGGACTGTGGTTTGAGGTTATGTAGGACCAAAAAAAAAAAGTCAATGAGACTCTCTCTATCTCAACCCACAAGCCAAGTATTGTGGTGTGTGTCCAGTGATCCTATATACATAGGAAGTTTACAGCCCTGTCCAGCCCAAGTAAAAAAACCCACGAAACTCTACCTGAAAAGTAACTAAATTACAGAAGGGACAGGGTATGTGTGGCTCAAGTGGTGGAGTGTGTGCCTAGCACGTCCAAGGCCCTGCTTCAAACTCCAGCTCTGCTAAAATAAAAACAAAGGTATGCATACCTGCATTTGTTTTCAGCCAGCTTCCCATTACTGTAGCAAATCCCGGAGGTAATCAACTTAGGAAGAGAAAAAGGTTGATGTTGGCTCATGGTTTTGGATGTTCCAGTCCATGATTGATTAGACTTGTTGCTTTTTTTTTTTTTTTGGTCAGTCATGGGGGCTTGAACTCATCAGGGCCTGGGTTCTGTCGCTGACGCAAGGCCAGCATTCTGCCACTTTGAGCCACAGCATCCCTTCGGGTTTTCTGGTGGTTTATAGCAAATAAGAGTCTTTATGGACTTTCCTGTGCAGGCTGGCTTTGTACCATGATCCTCAGATCTCAGCCTCCTCAGTAGCTAGGATTACAGGTGTGAGCCACTGGTACCTGGTGGACTTGTTGCTTTTAAGCTTGTGGAGAGTCAATGGAGAAAAGCCCGAGTCTCTTGGCCAGAAACAGAAGGGGAAAAGAAAGGAAGAGGAAGTGGCTGGAATCCCATAATCCCCTTTCAGGGCACGCCCTCCCACTCACCCCCACCTCTTAAAGGCTCTACCTTCTCCTAGTGCATCTTTACCACATTGGCATTTGGAGGAGGGCCTTTAAGGCCCAAAGTACAGTAACACACTGCACTTACGGTTCAAACTTGATGGTCATGAACTGGTTCGAGGGATAGTCCTGTGAGTTCTTCGTGACAGTGACAGAGTAGATTTCTCAGTGGTGGGTCCCCTTCCAACCCATGTTTCCGATGCCTGTCTCCAGTTCCTTCCCAGTGCTCTGGTGCCCGAGCCTGTTCTAGACCAAGCTTGCCCCGGATCTTAATAGAAACACACCCTGGCACGTGGAGATCATCTGGATGATTGTACTGAGATCACTCCCTAAGTGTTCTCTCCAGAAATCAGGCAAATATAAGAAGAAAGGAAACAAAACAAAACAGTCCAACTCGGACTAGTATCAGGAAAATGGAAGAGAAAGGAAGGAAACAAGCCTGGACTGTTTATTGGGGAACAGCAAGTGGCATACTCTTTCTGCAGGCTTGGAGCCTGGGGGGAGGGCGGAGTTAAGGGTTTTATGGGGGGTCTGAGCAAGGAGACAGGGATTCCTTGCGTTTACTATCAGGTGGGTAGGGATAATTGCAGTTGCAGGCAGAGAATGGCTAAATATTTCCTTATCCAAGGTCTCAAGCTCTTTTAATGTTCAAAGAGCTCTGAATCTGTCCTGCCTTGGCTGGCTGACCTTCACAAGGTCTAGTTCTCCAGTCTTCCAACCTCTTAACCCTTTCCTGGACTCACAGCCTTACAGGCTAGGCCCACAGTGGATGGTTTATAGTCAGTATTAGGTGGATCGCCCTGCCTGTACATCAAGCATTTCCACACATACCTGGGATTTTGCCTGGCATCTGCAAGTGCCTGGTATGATGGAGGTGGGGGTCAAATCCTTCATATTCCATCTTTGGATCCATAAAACGATTGGGCCAAGAGGGGAGAGACAAGTCCTTCGGTGTTCGCTAGACAATCTCCAACCAGCCATGCTTTGATGAAAACACACAAACAAACAAAAATCAGACCAAAAGGAAATGTTCTAGGACTTGGGTAATACCTAGTGTTTTGGACTAACTCAGCTTTTCTTCTTTTCCCTCAATGCAATCTCAAGAGCTGACTATCTCCTGAGGTTCTTCGTTGCACAGCTCTTGTCTTCATTAGCAGTGTTTATTTTTATGCCAGTACTGGGGCTTGAACTCAGGACGTAATCACCCTCTTTTAGCTTTTTCATTCCAGGCTAGCACTTTACCACTTGAGCCACAACTCCATTTCTGACTTTTTAGTGATTTCTCAGAGATAGTCTCACAGATTTTGCTGCCGTAGGCTGGCTTTGAACTGTGATCCTCAGATCTCAGCCTCCTGAGTGGCTAGGATGACAGGTGTGAGCCACTGGTATCCAGGGTTTGTTTTTTTTTGGTTGTTGCTGTTGTTTGCTTTTGTCTGTTGTGGGCTTGAACTCTGGATCTAGGCGCTGTCCCTGAGCTCTTTAGCTCCAGGTGAGTGCTCTGCCACTTGAGCCACTGCGCCACTTCCGGTTTTCTGGTGGTTAATTGGAGATAAGACTCACACAGCCTTTCCTGCTCAGGCTTGGCTTTGAACTGAGATCCTCAGATCTCAGCCTCCTGAGTAGTAGCTAGGATGACAGGCATGAGCTACCAGCACCCAGCTGGCTCCAGTTTTTTAGATAGGTTTTATATGTGGTTAATTACAGGTGAGAGTCTCGTGGACTTCCTTGCCTGGGCTGGCTTCAAACCTTGATCCTCAGATCCCACCTTCTGAATGGCTAGGATTACAATTGTGTGCCACAGGCACCTGACTGCATCTTTAAAGGGACAGGCCCTCAGAGGTCCAGCGGTTTCCAACTCTGTAACGTAGGGAGGGGTCCATGGATGCAGGAGAGAGGGGTCACGGCTCCATCCTCTTTCTTTCTCTCCATGGTACGTGTCACTAAACTATGAAGACACCTGTCTGCCTTACTAGCTTTCTTGCTTGTAACCCAGAGTCCATTGATACCTGGATGTTAATGCTGTGGGCATTACCTGTGGTCATCAGTCCTAGGGCTTGAACTCAGGGCCTGGGTGCTGTCCCTGAGCTGCTTTTTTTTGCTCAAGGCTAGCGCTCTACCACTTGAGCCCCAGCTCTACTTTGAATATTTTGCTATTTAACTGGAGATAAGAGTCTCACAAACGTTCCTGCTTGGGTTGGCTTCGAACTGCAATCCTCAGATCTCAGTAGCCACCAGCATCCATATTTCTATGGGTCTCTGCCTCTCCCCCCTGCCTGGGTTTGTTCTCAGAGATAGCAGAGTTGGTGTGATGGCAGCGTGAACCATTTTTGTCCGCGGCCCTTCCTCCCCTGCTGCTTTTATTTGTGTTCAAGACTATAGATGTCTGGAGAGGAAGAATTGAACTCTGGAGAAAATAATGAGCTCTCCCGAATAATAGATATATTTTTAAATGTGTTTCTTTCCCCCTTCTTTTTCTTTTGTCATTTGAAAGGAATTTAAAGATGAGCTGAACAAAACCAAAAGAACTTAAAGAGGCAAGTGCGGTGCGGGAAGCATGGTTAGGAAGCTTTCCCTGTGCGAGGGCTGGAGCCAGTTGCCTTGACAACGTGTAGCAGGCAAGCTAGGCGCTTTGACTCTTCCTGCCCCCTTTCAATTCCTCACAGGGAAAGCAGTTCGTCTAGCAGATCTCTGGCTGAGGATTACCGGGTCTCCCTCAGCGTCAGAAATTAACCTTTCCCTGCAAAATTTCAGTTTTGGTTGGCACTGGATGGGACAAAGGTGGTACCTTGGCTCTAGCTGAAGTGGTTTGATGGACCTGTCTTTTGGTGCTTGCGTGTTGACCCAAGGGGTCAACGTTAAAACCCTGACTCCTTTAACATATGACCGCCATGTTGACCTTATGTACAGCTGGACCAGTTCTGTGCTTGCCAACCTAAGCCATGGACAGTGATGATTCTTCTTATTTATTTTTGGTCGGTTGCCTGGGCACTGTCCCTGAGCTCTTTCACTCAAGGCGAGCGCTCTACCACTTTGAGCCACAACGCCACATCTGGTTTTTCCCTGGTGGTTCATTGGAGATAAGAGTCTCATGGACTTTCCTGCCCAGGCTGGCCTCGAACCACGATGCTCAGATCTCAGCCTCCTAAGTAGGATTACAAGCTTGAGTCACCCAGCGCCCAGCTTTGGTTTTCATTTATTTTTGTGTGTGCCAGTTCTGGGGCTTCAACTTGGGGGCCTGTGCACTGTCTCTGGGTCTCTTTGGCTTAAGATTAGTGTTCTACCACTTGAGCCCCAGCTCCACTTCCAGCTCTTTTGGTGGTTAATTGGAGATGAGAATTTCATGGATTTTTCTTCCCTGGGCTGGCTTCAAACTGCAGTCAGTCCTCAGATCGTAGCCTCCTGCGTAGCTAGGATTACAACAGACATGAGCCACTGATGCCTGGCTGGACAGTGTTTTTACTGACTCTGTCAGTGTGATGTTTTTACACTCATCAGAGACATGGGCCTTGTATGAATAAGATAAAGTGTAAGGCTGGGTGCTGGTGGCTCACGCCTGTCATCCTGGCTACTCAGGAGGGTGAGATCTGAGGATCACAGTTCAAAGCCAGGCTGAGCAGGAAAGTCTATGAGACTCTTAATTAACCACAAAAGGCCAGAAGTGAAGCTGAGCACCAGTGGCTTATGCCTATAATCCTAGCTACTCAGGAGACTGAGAATTGAGGGTTACGGTTGGAAGCCAACCTGGGCAGGAAAACTCTATGAGAATGCTTATCTCCAATAAACGGCTTAAAAAAGTCAGAAGTGGCACAGTGGCTCACATGGTAGAGTGCTCACCTTGAGCAGAAGTTCAGGGACAGTGCCCAGGTCCAGAGTTCAAGCCCCAGGATTGGCAAAAAATAAAAAAAAAAGCCAGAAGTGGAACTGTGGCTCAAGTGGTAGAGTGCCAACACCCAGGACTTGAGTTTAAATCTCACTACTAACAAAAAAGAAAAAAAAAGTCACTGGACTCTCAGGGTAATTTATTCTGACTTTTCCAAGTTGATGGCTTTATTTCTTGGTCTGTATCTCATAGATTAAAAAAAAATTTTTTTTTCAAGCTGTGTCTTGCTGACAGCTGGAACAGCTCATGTTGTTTGCATCCGTGGAACTGATGCACCGGTGTCTCCTCTTCCGCTGGGCCCATGCCAGTGTCTAGCAATCTGCTCAGGGAACCTAGAAAACCTGAATCAGGCCAACATCCATCAGGGGATTCTGTCCTGCTCATCCTGGAATTCTCAAGGATGCTGCAGATTGCATGACTATTCTTTCCCTTCTAGAAAAATGGAGCTGTTGCTGGAGAGCTCATTTGGCTCTCTCAGCTGAGATACTGGCATCCGCCCAAATAGACTAGTAACAAATTGCAGCTCAAGCCAATTAATCTCATCTGTAGCTTAATGGGAGGTTGGTTTTCTTTTTTTGGTTCCCAGAGGTCCAGTTAGAAAAGCTGTCTGTCTTGTTAGATTGCTTTTGTGAAATTCTTGTTAACTGGCAAAGAACAATAAAGTAGATGGTCGCGTAAGTGTCTTGTGGAGGCTACTATAAAGATGAAGAATACTCAAAAATATCCATCCCCCCAAAAAATAGCAGAGGGCTGGGAACGTGGCTTATTGATAGAGTGCTTGATTTCTCAGTACTACATACACAGAAAAAGCCAGAAGCGGCACTGTGGCTCAAGTGGTAGAGCGCTAGCCTTGAGCCAGAGAAGCTCAGGGGCAGTACCCAGGCCCTGAGTTCAAGCCCCAGGACTAGAAAAACAAAACAAAACACAAGGTCTTTGTGGACTGTCCTGCCTGGTCTGACTTTGTACCCTCACCCCCAGATCTCAGCCTCCCGAGTAAGCCAGGATGACAGGTGTGAGCCACCGGCGCCCGGCCTCATTAACTTCATGATGGATAGCTAAGTATGGCAAGTTTGGGAGGCCAGCGCGATGCCTGATGGTCGTCTCAGCAATCGCCGTTATTCTGTGATCTGAGACCAATGGCTGTCCCAGAGAGAGCAGAGGGCAGAAAAACGAGGACCCAGCTAGATCCCACCTGAACAGAAAGGACAGGAGATAACACCCCTTGGAGCCCCTCAACCCCTCCCAGGTGCCCAGCCTGTGTTTTACGCTGAACCGAGCTTTTATCATACCACGTTTGACTTGGCCACACACGGTTCTCCAGTAGCCTGAAGTGATCGCAGGCTAGCTAGAGGGAGTAACTGTTGTGGTTTGTCCTCACAGAAGATTGCTGCGTCTCAGCCTTCCTGGACTTGGTCACTGCCAAATCACAGGACCACAGAAGCCACCAGCCAGGCTGGCTCAGTCCCTAAACGAGGGCTGTCCCTCAGGTGTGGGTGGGCAGGTCTCACCCGTGTTCAGAGAGAGCTCACCTTCTGCCTTGGTCTCCCTGTCTCGCCTGTAAATGTGCACATCCTTTTAATGCTTAAAAGACAGATACTGTAGAACTCCCCCCCCCCCCCCCCCCGTGGAGGAATCATTTCAGTTGTGGTCTCAGGTAAATTTGGTTGTCTGGCAACTAGATTGCTCTTGGCAGAGCTCAAGAGAATATAAATGCTGACATCTTGATAAACATCTACGTGGAGTGAGGCTGAATCGCTTTGCTTTCAGAGCTATGCTTTGAATTACCTGACTCTATTACTTTTTTGAGAGAGAGAGAGAGAGAGAGTATCTGTGCCAGTCCTGGGGCTTGAATTTAGGGCCTGAGTACCATCCCTTAGCTTGTTTGCTCAGGGCTGGTGCTCAGCCACTTGAGCCACAGCTCCACTCCTTGCTTTTGCTCTTTAATTAGAGATAAGAGTCTCAGACTTTTCTGCCTGAGGCTGGCTTTGAACCACGATCCTCAGATCTTAGCCTCCTGAGTAGCTAGGATGACAGGCGTGAACCACCAGCACCCAGCCTGATTCTCTGTATTAAAACAACAGTGCATTAATGCAGGGTGGGCTTACTTCAAAGCAGAGAAAAGAAGTTCAGGAATGGAAAAGAGATTCTGGAACACAGCACTTCCTTCAAGCAGTCTTCCCATGACAAGCACCAATAGCTGTCAATCTAGCTACCCAGGAGGCTGAGATCTGAAGATTATTGTTCACAGCCAGCCTGGGCAAGAAAAGCCCAGTGAGAGTCATATCTCCAATTAACCAGCAAAAAAAGCTAGATGTGGAGGTGTGGTTCAAGTGGTAGAGCACCAGCCTTGAGCCAGAGAGCGGAGGCAGCACTCAGGCCTGAGTTCAAGACCCCAGTACACACACACACAGACACACACACACAGACACACACACAGACACATACACACACACGTCTTGCCAGACACGAATGTCTCACACCTGTAATCCTAGCTACTCAGCAGGCTGAAATTTGAGAATTAAAGATTAAAGCCAGCCCAGGCAGGAAAGTCTATGGGAGTCTGACCTTCACAAAACTAAAAAAAAAAAAAAAAAAAGCCTAAAGTGGTGCTGGGGCTCAAGTGCTAGAATGCTCGCCTTGAGCAAAAGAAGCTCAGGGACAACAACCAGGCCCTGAGTTCAAGCCCCAGGACTGATACCAAAAAGAAGAAAAAGGAAGTCTTCACAAACCTGTGCTGCTCAAGAACCTGTGGGTGGATGTGGCAACAATCAGCCCCATCCACAGGTGCCAGGCTCCCGGGGTGACAGGTAAGGTTGCCTGGACATTTGGGTGTGAGCCGGATTGCAGTGGACATCTTTAAACATCTTTGCCAGCCAGCTGTTTTAATGGGAAGGATAAACTGATGTTCTATCGGGGACAAGGTGGGGCGGGGGGACTCTCTAGCTGGAAAACAGAACATTTTCATCGAATACAGAATCTGATTCCATGAGGTACTTCCAAGTCAGATCACTACTTCCAGACGAATGATTTAAAATTTAGATGACAAAATAAACAACCATCCATTCCTAGCACATTGCATTATGCATGCTTCGTAGAGCTTTAGCATTTTACGTCTGTACCGCAGCCCACATCCCTCAGCTGGGTCTCCGGGTTCACAGAAGGGCTGGTGCATGTGGTGCCATGTTCTTGGCCCATCACGAATTATGTAAACCAAGGTAGGGTGGCATCTGGTGGGGAACAGAACCAAGTGGATGGATTAGATCCATTTGATTACTCTATGTGTGTGTGTGTGTGTGTGTGTGTGTGTGTGTGTGTGTGTGTTGGTTCAAAGGCTTGAACTTAGGTCCTGGGTGCAAGGATGGTACTCTGCCACTTAAGCATTACCTCCACTTCTGGCTTTTTGCTGGTTAATTGGGAGGTGAGTCTTATAGACTTTCCAGCCCAGGTTGACTTTAAACCTTGGATCCTCAGATCTCAGCCTCCTGAGTAGCTAGGATTACAAGCATGAACCACCAGTGCCTGCCTTATTGTTTTTGTTTTCGTTGGTCGTGGGGCTTGAACTCTGGGCCTGGGTGCAGTCCCTCAGCTCTTGAGCTCAAGGTAAGTGCTCTACTACTTGAGCCATAGCACCACTTCCGGTTTTCTGGTGGTTCATTGGAGATCAGAGTCTCAGGGACTTTCCTACCCAAGCTGGCTTTGAACCTTGATCCTCAGATCTCAGCCTCCTGAGTAGCTAGGATGACAGGTGTGACCCACCCGTACCCAGCCCTGATTGTTTTTCAAAATTGGATCCCAAGACTGATACATCCATCTGGGGGTGGGGGTGGAGGGGGGGGTGATGCTTACAATGACCCATGCATACTGTTTGTTATTTGCCAGGAAATTACCACGTGTTTGCCAGATTACTACAGATGGACACAGTACCTATTTATTAAACTCTATGAAGCTGGGCTGGCCTATCAAAAGGAGGTAAGTTCAAATCAGCTGCACATCAAGAGCTAGGAGATAAGCCCAGGCCCTGAGTTCAAGCCCCAGTGTACACACACACACACACACACACACACATATGCACGCACGCACACACGCGCGCGCGCGCTTTTCAAAAGCCAAACAAGCTAGGCACCAGTGGCTCAAGCCTGTAATCCTAGCTATTCCCGAAGTGGAGATCTGAGGTTCACCATTCAAAGCCAACCCAGGCAGGACAAGTCTATAAGACTATCTCCAGTTAACTACCAGAAAACCAGAAGTGGAACCATGGCTCAAAAGCGTAGAGTGCTAGCCTTGAGAAAAAGAAAAAGAAAAAAAAAAAACTAACTATGCTAAGTGCTACACAGGGCCCAAGAGCCATGTTGGAAAGTCAGGGATTGTAGAGAAGGCTTGGGACTGGTGGTGGAGTAGACAAGACACCCCCCTGGTGGCCTGGACTGGGAACTGCACTGCCCATTGCTACAGCCAGTAGTTGGCTGTAGGTCAAAGTTTAAAATGCTGCTTGCTGCCTTGGCTTTTACTGAAGTCTGCAGTCGTTTCTCCACCAGCCATGCCAATGTGGACAGAACGAAGGAGACAGCGCAGGTCTTGTTCACCTGTGGCCCCTTGAAAGGACTCATCAGGGATCCCCAGAAGTGTGTGGGGCTGTTTGTTTGCCAGTCCTGGGGCTTGAACTCAGGCCTTGGCCACTGTCCACTCTACCACTTGAGCCACAGCGCCCCTTCTGGCTTTTTCTGTGTATGTGGTACTGAGGAATTGAACCCAGGAAGCCCTACCACTAAGCCACCTTCCCAGCCCAGGGCCCCAGAAGCTTAGGGACCACATTTGGACAACCACAATAGGCAGTATGCAGTTTCTACTCCTGGTTGCATTTTAACTCACTAAAATACTGGCGTTTCTTAAGCATATATAGTATTTAATATTTAATTACATTTAACATTGTATATTAAATATGTCTAATGCTTTAATATTTTAATATTCAATACCTTAATATACTTAGTGCCTTTAATGTAGTTATATATTTATACTGTTATACAGATTGTAATATATGTAATACTTTAGATATATTTAATACTTTCAATATATTTTATATCTTTAATATATTTATATTATCTTACAGATTATATATACTATATATATATTTATATACTTATATATTTGCTTTTTTTCCCCTCAGTCCTGGGCCTTGAACTCAGGGCCTGGGCACTTCACTGAGCTTCTTTTCTGCTCAAGGCTAGCACTCTACCACTTGAGCCACGGCACCACTTCTGGCTTTTTCTGTGTATGTGGTACTGAGGAATCGAATCCAGGGCTTCATGCATGCTAGGCAAGCACTCTACCACTAAGCCACCTTCCTAGTCCCTTATATATTTACTTTTAATATATTTAATATAAACATCTAGCAGCGAATAAATATATATTTAAGCATATTAACTACAATATTACATATTAAATATTTAATATTGTATATTAGATATATACTCTAATCTCCAGTACCACCAAGAACTACGTATAGCGACCAGACCTTTAACCTTGCCACCACTTTTTCTGTGTTTTGTTTCTCTTCCCTCTACTCAAAGAAAGTGAGGAGAGAGAAAATGGAGAAAAGAAATTTTTTAAAAAAGAAGTAAATTTTTTTTTCTGGTCCTGAGGCCTGTCCCTGAGTTTCTTTTGCTCAACGTTTGCCACAACGCCACATCTGGCTTTTTTTGAGTAGTTTATGGGAGATAAGAGTCTCACAGAGGGGCTGGGAAGGTGGCTCAGTGATAGAGCACTTGCCTTGCATGCCTGAGGC